AAGCTGTCTACAGTGTCATGCTTAGGACAGTACCCGGGCAGGACGAGGGTCAGGCGGTGATGGTCGAGGTGCCAAATTTTAAGAGGATCATTGATAACTTGACAGCTGCCAGAGGAGGGTGACTAGGATAATCAGGGTCTGGAGAACTGGGTCATTTAAGAAAGGATTGAAATAAGATGGGACTCTTTTGGGGGGGCCGGAGGCCAGAGAAGAGAATAAATGAGCAATCACAGAGCACATGTTGGAATATTTGAACAAAGATTTATACTTATTCTGTTTTTCTCAGATGACAACATTTGAATCCATAGGCAGAGGTGAACCACATTACAAGTGAATATTTAGGTCTCTCTTCTAACTTTATTCTCTTTGAAATGGAGTAAGTTCCCGATCACTGTGCCTATGCAAGTCAGGGCTGACAGACTGGCTGCCAGGGACACTATATGGAAGATTCTTGTACTTTATGGGAGGTGAACTGGTCCAAAATCACTAAGCAGCTTTCAAAAAATATGGCTTCCTGGGGTAGCAGATAATCTGCTTGGATGGGTCTGGAATGCGAACTCGGAATCTGTTACTTTTTAAAAGCCCCATTAGCTATAAAACTCTTAGAAGAAAACCTATATAGGGAGAAAGTTCATGATACTGCCTTGGGCAGTAATTTCTTGGCTATAACACAACATGCACCGGCAACGGAGGAAACGATGGTGGACTTCCGCAAAATGAAAAACCTTGTGCATCAAAGGACACTAGAACAGAGTGAAATTCAGGCAACCCGCAGAATAGGAAAAAATATTTGCATAGCCTATGTTTGATAAGGGATTAATATCCAGAATATATAAAGAATTCCTGCAACTCAACAACAACAACAAAAAACAACCTGATTAAAAAACAGGCCAAGGACAGAGAAGGCAAACAGTGACTCTGTGGCATCTTGCTACCCTGATGGACAGTGACTGCACTGGGGTGTGGGTGGGGACACGATAATATGGGTAAATGTAGTAACCACATTGTTTTTTTCATTTGAAACCTTCATAAGAGAGTATATCAATAATAAAAAAATAAAAGAACTCATAAAAAATTTTTTAATTAATAAAAAATATAAGAAAAGCAAAAAAATAGGCTAAGGCTGGAAGAGATGTTTCTCCAAAGACACACAAATGACCAATAAGCACATGAAAAGATGCCCACATAACTCATCAATAGAGATATGCAGACGAAAACCACAATGAGCTACCACTTCACACCCATGAGGATGGCTATTATTTAAAAAAAGAAAAAAGAAGTGTTAATGAGGATGTGGAGAAACTGGACCCCTCGTGTAGTGCTGGTACGAATGTAAAACAGGGCAGCCACTGTGGAAAACAGAAGGGTAAGTTCCTCAAAAAAATTAAAAATAGAATTACCATATGATCCAGTAATTCTACTTCTAGTATATACTCAAAAGAAGTGAAAGTAAGGACTTGAACAGACATTTGGACACCCATGTTCACAGCAGGATTATTTGCAATATCCAAAAGGTAGAAGAAACCCTTTGACAGCTAAGAGATAAAAATATTATTCAGCTTTTGGAAAAAAAAAAAAAAAAGGAAATTCTGACTCATGCTGTACATGGACGAGCCTTGAGAACATTATGCCAAGTGAAAATAAGCCAGCCACAAAAAGATGACTACTGTGTGATTCTATCTTTATGAATTACTTAGTAAGTCCACAGAGACAGAAAGTAGGACGTGGGCTGCAGGGCTGGTGGAGAGGGGACGCGGAGTCATTGTTTAATGGGTGCAGACTTTCATTCGGGGAAGATGAAAGAAGTTCTGGAGATGGATGGCGGTGAATGTACTTAAAAGCGCTCAACCGTAGTCTTAAAAATGGTTAACATATTGACCGAACATACAAAACATATATTTTCTCACAGGTTTTAAAATACGCAATTTTTAAACATATGCATTATTTTTGTAGCAGCACCAGATGCACCTTCCTCAATCTAGTTTGCTGAGCTCCGGTTTGAAGAATCGGCCTTCCCTGAGCTCGCACAGATGGGCAACCCTGGGAAATGGTGTGACGTTCGCACGGAGTGGGGACTGCTGACGGGGGACTGAGCGCTAGCTTGGGAAGACCCTCCGAGTGGATGACCCCTCAGCAGACCACTGAGAGCATGAGAAAGCCTCAGAATCACTGTCACCTTCCACGGCTCACTCAGATGGCTAGGGCCGGCTGCCGCTGCCGCCCAGAGGGACAGGCCCAACGGTCAGCTCCGGCTCTCCAGCTGGCCCAGTACCGGCAGCTCCCAGGAGGCAGCACGCAGGGGCAAACGGGGGTGGCTGGTGGAGTCACCGTGTGGGTGAGAAGGGTCGCCCTGCAGGCTGCCACCACAGGGAACAGCCCTACCTGCTTTACGAATAGGAAAGATAATTTTCTTAGGATTAGGCCATGTTCTAAATTATAAAACCCGGGGGGAACCACAGTGGGGATGGGAGGGCCAAGAAGAGGCTGGGCCAGGGTGGCTCAGGTCTGCATGTTCTCTTGAAGATTTGCAGGGCCTCAGATGTCTGTTTTCTAATGAAAAAACAAAACACTTAACCATGAACTCATAACTGAGGAGTGGTTGTTTACATTAAAATTATTGGAGACTATAAATGGATGCCCCTCAACTCTAACTTCCTAAGCATATTTAAGGATAGGGATTTTATACACTCCTGGCATGTAAGTTGCCAACAGAGAGACCTTAAAACCAAGTACTAAGGGTTACTGCTCATTATAGCCAGACCATAAAAAAAACACATGGGAAATTATCTTGGAAACTGGCACTGAAATTTACAGTAAGGTCCACTTTATGGCTATCGTCATGCCAACACTTTATTCAGTTTCCACCCTGAGAACTCCCAGCTTCCTTGGGCTTCCCGTGGGTGGGCATGCAGGAGGGCAGGTTCTCATCCATGCCAGCCTCAGTGGACTCCGCTTTTCGTTACTGAGTCAGGGGCACACATATTGTCCAGAGGGAAGAGAATAAAGAAAGGGTGTGGAGGGCAGATGAAGGATATCTTTCCTGGCTCCCCTCACCTGGCATTCTATACCCTCATGCCCCCAAAATCATGTCCCCAGGATTGGCCAGCAGCTACTACATCTGTCCTCGCTGCTTATTCCAATGGGTGCTCTGGTGGGACCACACACCCCGAAGGCAAGTCTGGGAGTCTCAGAGGGCAGGGGACTTTCCCCTCATTTAGATGGCATTTTAGCCATCCCATAACAATAACAACACTTAAAATGGCAACCTAAAAAGCTAGCATTTACTGAGCATTTACAAAGTCAGGAATTATCCCAAGTGCTTTATGTATACTAATCCATTCAATCCTCATAATCACCTGAGGTGATTATCTGCATTTAGCAGATAGACAAACTAACACCTGGAGAGGCTGACTAATTTGCCCAAGCTCACGCAGCTAGGTGGGTGCCTGCAGTCCTGCCACCTGCCTCAGCTGGCATCTCTCCAAAGACAGGAGTCCTGTGCCTTCCCAGTTTGGGGAATTTTTCGCCATGTCCAACGGCTCTCACCTCATTCAGTCTGGGAGCTCCCTGAAGGCCGGGGACCCTGGTCCTTCCAACACCTGGGGAGCTGTCAGAGCCTTTTGCCCCACGGGGTTATGGGGGTTATGCCTCCCCCTGCCTGTCCAGCTGGGAGCTCCCAGAGAACACTTCCCTAGAGAAGGAGCTTCCTGGGACAGAGCCCCTGGTCAGACACTGGCTGTCCTTCCTGCCCAGCCCAGCCCTCTGAGCACAGGGGCAGCTGGATGGCTTCTCTCCGGCCCCAGCTCCGGGCTGGCGGATCTCAGCGTGAGGTTGGGCGGCCCCTGGGATTAAACAGGGAGTAAACAGCCCCATTCATGCGTAAGTTGTTTTGCTCCAGAGCAGCCTCCTCAGCCAGACAGGCCCTGCCAGATCCCTCCAACTTTACCCCCAGGGGTGGGGACCAGTGGACGGCCTGGAGCTTGGCTCTCTGTCCTTGCTGAGGAGGGGCTATTTCACTTTCCGTTTCCTGGAAGCTTAGTATTTTTATTGGGGAGAGGTAGTCCTTGGGAAGGGAGGGAAGGGGTGCACTGCTCCCTGTGTGGTCTCTGGGAGCATCCCGGCAGACCAAGAAGGAAGAGTGGAAGCAGCAGTCAGCTAAGCGATGACGATGCCCGGGAGAAGCTTCCAGAGCCACTGCAGCTCTGTGGTGTCAGGGCCCGGGACAGCTGACTGGAATGCCACAGGCCCCAGCACTTCTTGCCTGCTGCCCTCTCCCCTCACTTCCCAGACTGTCACCTGTGTCCAAGTTGCTCCTCAAACCCAACCCTGACAGGTAGGGCAGAAAAAGCTGAGAGGTGAGGGTCCCTGTGGGGCAAGGAGCAGGTGAGAAGGGTCACTGGACCGGGGAGGAACTGGCGAGTTGCAGTGCTGGCAGGTTTGCGGAGGGAACCAGAGGGGGCGAACCGGGGGGTCGGGGGCGGTAAGGGGCGCAGGCGCGGGGCTGGGGCCCTGGCGGAGGGAGCGGCGCCGCTACGCTGTTTGACCTACAGGCTTTCACGTTCCCTTCTGGCAGCCTCTTGAGGCGGACAGATCGGGTATTATCATCCTCTTTACAAACGGGGAAGCAGGCCAGGGTGTCCAAGGTCCACAGGGAACCGGAAGAGGAGTGAGGGCCGATGCGACCTTCCAGGGCCCTCCCGCCAGCCTTTGGGGCACAGGGCACAGGGAGGAAGGCGGGCGCACCCCAGAACGGCAGTCACGGGGGCCAATGACGGGGGCATCTTCACTGGCCAGTCAGCTCCTCAGGTGCCACCTACCCTCACGGCCCACACTGGAGTCTAGACTACACCCCAAAGGCGCTGGGCGAGGGCCCACACCGGTCACTTGTCCCCGGCCACAGGGCGCAAGCCGAACTCCCCGCCGCACGCAAGGGATCCCATTCCCCACCATTCCACGGGTCACCCAGCGCCGGCCGCAGATGCCCCGTGCCCCGCCCTTACCCGGTCGTGATGTCGTCATCCTCAGTCATGGTCTTGCCTATGAGGTCGCTGTCACTCATGTAGCCGGACTTGAGGTCTACCTCGTCTGAGTCCAGGGACTCGACCAGCTCCAGGCGGGAGATGTGGCTGAGCTTGCTGGGGCTGCGCATGGGCATGGTGTGCGAGTAGTGGGCCCGCTCCCCGTGCATGTACCAGGCAGGTGGGCCCTCCGGGCGGCAGCTCCCTCCCACAGACGGCGCATCACCGGCCTGCAGCCTGGGGCTGGACTGGCCGTAGCGCCAGGAGAGCGGGGATGAGCGGTTGGAGAGGCTGGACACGCTGCGAGGGTTGGCATCATCGCTGTCGTAGCAGGTCATCTCCAGGGAGCTGGGCAGAGGACAGAGGGCACCCGTTTACTCCTCAGCACCCGTTCTGTGTGCTGCCCGCTGCTGCCGCCCCCCGCGCCCTCCCGCGGCCTCTCCACCTGCCCGTCTCTGGGTGTCAACCTGTTACATGTGATCTCGGGCTAGGGAAGCCACCCGGTACTGCTAAGACCATAAATTGTATCATATGCCCTGGGTTTGAATACTTTTCTTCCATTAGTAGCAGTAAGTGAGCCAGAGGGCAGTGGTCAACCTTGCTGAGCTTCTGTTTCCTCATCTGCACAACGGACATAATAGCTCCTTCACAGAGTTGTAAGGATCGAGTATGTAGACCTAACACAGCGCCTGGGGTACAGAAGCTGCTCAAGGAATGGGAAGGGGGCCCTGAGGCCTCCCGGGGGGAGTGGAAGAGAAGGGTCCCCCAAGCTTGGAAGGCCTTGACCATTCATTTAGCTCAGGGTGTGTCTGTCACCTCTTTTCTGTTAATGAGCTGAGGGCTAGTCGATTCCCGAACCAGAGACAGCGAAGTCGGGAGGGGCTAAAGGGGGTGCAGCAAAAGCTTAGGTAACCTGGGATGTGTGGCAGACTCACATCCCAGCTGAAGACCAGGCCCAGCTGAAGGCCTCGGGCTTCCGGAGAACCAGCAGTGCCTCACCAGAGAACAGAAGCAGCCTGAGCTGGGCAGAGGCGGGAAGAGGGGGCAGTGGGCGAGCGGGTAAAGGTAGGGGGTCCAGGGTCCCAGGCCGCAGGCCCTGCCAGGCCGGGCCAAGGAAGCATGCCCAGGTTAGAACTCGGTGGCCTGACGCTAAGGGAGTCCAGGGGCTGGAGAAGGAGAAGCCTTTCTCCCTCTGGGGCCAAGGAGGCTGGAGCAAGCATTCCTGAGGTCCTTGGAGAGGTGGCCTGGCTTCAGGTCAGACAGGCGCATCATCCCCCCAGCCTAGCAGTGCTGCCAGCCCAAATCAACCACAGGTAGGGTCTCAGAGGCTTCGCCTAACTAGAGCCAGGCGGGGTTGCGTCAATGAAATAGGACTGAGGGCCAAGAGAGCTGGGCGGCTAGGGTGGCCGTGGCTACAGGGGAGTTACTCAAAGCAGAGGAATCGTCACTCTGTAACATACCCATTTCTTAGTGACTTTGGAGGTTAAGATGTGAGCAAGACATTGATTTTTCTCTTCTTGTTTTTATAAAGTTCCTTGATAAAAAGAAAGTCCTCATAAATTGTCTCTACTGACCCTGAGAAAACAGGATTTTTTGATCAATGGAACTGGAGGGAGCTAAGGGGTCTTTGAGCCTGAGCACGAGGGTGGTCCCTGCAGAAGTCCCGTGGGTGAGCTGGGGGACCCCAGCTGGAAGGGGCAGTGAGCGACCGCTGCTCTGGACCCCCTTGAGGGTCTCTGACCCGGCCCACATGCAGCTTCTCCCCCAGGCGTGTGCCTGTTGTTCTGTGGCTCTTCATCACACACTTATTTCTGTTTCTAATGACTGCAGACCGACCGCAGAGAGAACGGACCTTCCCTGAAGGAGGGACTGCGGTGCCGTGTGACTGTCTGCCTTGCTCACCACTGTATTTCAGCACTTTGCACAGGGCGTGGCATGTACCTAGTGCGTGTACGAGGGGGACTCCAGGAGGGACAAATCTGTGACGAGCATGCTCAGTTGAAGAGCAGTGACATTCTTGTCCCAAGGCTCAGTCCAGGGCTGCATGCAGTCAGTGCTTAGTAAGAACAAGCTGACCGTGCCAATGAGATGAGGAGAAGGAAGAGGATGACAATGACAGTGACAGGGCGATGGAGAGCTGCAGGACGGCCAGTGTTGGTAGTTAGTCTACACCATGGCAATAAAATTAGTGCGTGGTGTGGGTGGTGTGGAGCACCCAGATGCTTCAGTTCTATTCCTGGCCAACTCCTGTTCAGCTCTCCGCACTGAAAGTACCTCCTCCCCTATTGCACTGCTCTTTTTTATACCCCAAACACATCTCTGGACATGTCTAAGTCGGTGGGGGAGGGTTCTAGCTCAGAACTTTTGTTCTTGATTTCCCGTCCTGCACCCAGCCCTTCGGCCTTGCCTCTCTCCGGGGAGGACATTTCTAGGGTGGGCAGAGCAGTGGGCCTGGAGCAGAGGGAGGGAGGGTTTCACTTCTTCTCCAGCCCTAGCCCCAGCCCCCTGACCCAAATGCTCTACTTGCTGGGGGAACAAGCTACTAGAAACAGAGGAAGCAGAACGTGAATAAAGGTTTCTGAAAAGGAATCGAATCTAGAGTTAGTCTGTTAGGTTCCAGGCTGAAAATAACCTCGCTGGGCTCACCAAACTGTAAGCTGTGTTTGCCCCAAGGGCTGGCGCCCAGCTCTGTGCCCGGCACACAGCCAGCAAGGTGTGGGTTCTAAGCCTGCTGGGCGCAGACCCTGCCCTAATCAGCCTCTGGCCTCTGGCAAGGGACCCCTCTCCAGCCCCTTGCTAACCCAGGATGTATGTGGATACCCGATGTACTCCTGGGGCTGAGGGCAGGGCTGACTGATGGAAAGCACTTTAAAAAGCAGAAGAGCCATAAAAATTTCGGAATCATTGTTTTGGCTAGGGAAGTGTAGAACAGGAATAATATAAACCAAAGGCTAAGAGAGGAAGTGGCTCTGGGTCCGCAGTAAACAGAAAAACCAACTTCAGGGTTCTTGGTTCCTTTCCCATAAAGGGAGACAGAAGCCAGAGCCTGAGATGCTCCTCCCAAATCGGTCAGCGTTATGCTAGGGGCTCTGGCCTCCCCCTATGCCACCCGACCCAGGAAGCAGCGAGCAGCACCCGCCTGGGGTCTGGCTGTCTCGCTGAACCTGGGGCCTGGGGTTGGCTGTTGGCAGTCGGTGGCACCAGGGCACCGCAGCTCCTGCTTCTGCCATTCCCTGGCGGGTGAGTCACCTGGGGTGTGACCCTCTAGCGCACACTGAGCATGTTCTGCCTCCTTTGGCCTGGGGCTGGCGGGAGATTTGGTGCAGGAGCTGTTCCAACAGCTTCCCTGGGTGGGGGAGGATGTTCAAGATGTCATCCCCTGGGTCCCTACAATGGTAAGCCAAGCAGAACCAGACCCCTGCCCCACGGGGGTCCTGCTCGGGGCTGTGAGGGACGGAGGCGAAAGGCAAATGGAAGGGGCCCTGAGTTGCAGGGCTTCCTGGAACCCCATCACCTACTTTCTTTCTCAGGCCTCCTTGACCACGTCCCTTTCAGTAGTGAAAGGCCTGAGTGGAGGTAATCCCAGAGAATAGGGGCTTTGATTTATCATTTAAAGTATTTTAGCTGTCTGGGAGCAAAGGGCTGCGTGTGCAAGACAGGAATGGGGTGGGCCTGGCAGAGGAGCAGCAGGAGGAGGAAAGGGGTGGTCCGGAGCAGGAGAAGAACCAGAGCAGATGCAGAAGCTGCTGGAGCCTGGCTCCTGGTCCCCTGCACAGCTACGGCAATCTCACGGTGGAAGGGATGGCTGAGAGGTAGTGAGCTCTCTGTCACTGGAGGTATGCAAATGTAGTCTGGCCATTCCTTGGCCACACACTTGGGCTAAGAAAAGCCCTCTTTCCAGTGCCCCTAAGTCCCAATCTTGCTCTCCTTTTCCTCTCTCAGGAAACAGGGAGGAACTGGTTCTAGTCCCACTGGAGAGGCTGCCTATCCCTCTCTGCCTCCCTGCCCCACACCCCCCTGACTTCCCAGTCCTGGCTGTCTGCCCCCCCCGTACCCCAGAGTGCAGCCTGGCCCTTTATCCCCCTTGGAGCCGACAGCGTGAGCTCATCTGGGCAGCCTGAGGAGCCAGGGGGGGAAATTCTGAGTCACGGCAGAGGCTGCGGCCAGGACGCCGCTCCAGGGAGAGGTGCTGTGGGAGGGCTGAGTGCCCGCACAGCTGGAGGCCCAGAGGTCTCTGCGAGTGGGGGCGGGGGGTGGAGGGGCACACCCACCCAGCTTGGAATCTGGGTGGCACTGTGTGGGCCACTGGCTTTAGAGCAAGAGGGATCCTGACTGGCAGAAGAGGGTAAAGATGCTGTGGGCTGGGAGGGGCCCGGGCCTGGGATCCCAGAGCAAAGGAAACCTCAGAACAGGAAGAGGAAAGTGGCTCGTGAAGCCCCTTGCGACCAGTGAGGAGACTGCCGCCTGAGGAGGGAAGGCGGACGGGACGGGACCATCCCACCAAGCTGTGTGGCGGCTCCTGCCTCCCATTGCCTAGTGATTCTCAAACTTAGCTGCTTATGTGAAATCTGAGGCTGAAGCCCAGCTGGTACTACACAAAGCTGAGCTGCTTTTGCTGAGTTGCAGCTGGGCAGCCATGGAGCTCTGCACGTCCGGCCACGGCAGCAGGCCACCTGGCCGACCTCTGAGGCCTCAGCGGAGGCCTGGAGAACCCCCGGGACCCTAGTCCCCAGAACGGGAGGGCAGCGGAGGGCAGGGCCCCCTCTGCCGTTCATACTTACCTGTGAGTCACCTGAGAGCCCCGCAGGCTGGACATGGTCTCCTCCAGGTTCTGCCGGAGATCCAGGACATTCTGCACCGTCCTCTTTCTCTGGGACTCTGGGTCTGGGGGGGAGAGAAGGGAGAGCGGGGTGAGGAAGGGGACTTACTACTGGGAGCCGAGAGGGTCAAGGAAGCAGAGGTGACCGTATCCCTAGGTGGCGGGTCCCAGGCCACGCTGGTTGCCTGCCTCTCAGGCCCCCTTAAAGACCCCGGACATGTGCCCTGGAGCCAGCTGAAGCCTTGACCTTGGAAGAGAGCTTAAGACACAGGGCCCTGTGTCTGTGCACGCCTCCCGGACTCCCCAAGTAACTGCTTCTGCCCCGGGTTCACGTGGGGAGGCGCTGCTTCTCACAGCAGAGGTCCCGGGCAAGGTTTCCCGTGGCTGAGGTCAGCTGGAACATCTGCCTAGAACCCCGCCTCCAGTGAGGTGTTGGTAAATGTTTAACAACTGGCGGTTGGAGGAGGGGACACCCTGATATGCAGTGTTTGACGATTTCTGTGGTGTAAATACCCCGACCACGGCTGCTTCCAAGCTACCAACATGATGCCACTGACCACAGGGTGAGGAAGAGATGCCAACCATTGGCTCTGGGGAGCTGGTATGAGCAGGCTTCATTCAGCACATGCACTCCCTGAGCCCTGGGCACTGCCAGGACCATCTGCAGACCCTCTGGAGTCCAGGGGAGATAGTTCAGATAGAGCCCCTTAAAAGTGAGGTGGCTGGGAGAGAGGTGGAAGGGCAGTCATTTTTGGGAGCAAGGACTGAGCTCTGGGCATTTCAGCCCCAAGGCAGGCGGAGCGATCCTGAGTCGGGGGGGGGGGGATGCATGGGTGTGGCCCCAGCCTCCGGATCGTAAATGAGCTTCGGTCATTTCATTCAACCTTGGTTTCCAGGCATGATATTAACCTGGACAGATGAGAGAGAGCCGACAGCAGCAAACAGACCTTTATCCCATCTCCTTGGTGAAAATAACACCCAAACACCGAAGGGCACATGAGCATGAAGGAACCCCAAGAACTTCCTCCATCCTTCCATCAACCCAGCCAGTAAATCTTCATTGAACATACTTCATGCCAGGTACCACAGTAGGCCCTACAGACACTAAAATGAAGAGGACCTGGCCCTGGCCTACTGCTTATTTCTGACTTTGGGACCCAAAGTCTCTGAATGGAATCAAATCCCCCAATGCCTCCCTGAACAACAATGTATAGGAGGCAGTCAGGGACCTGCAGAAAGATGAGAGCAAAGCAATGGAATAAACCTCAGAATCCTCTCTCCAGACTACTTCCCTTTTCTCTCCATCCCTAACTCTCTGCAGCCCTCTGCCCACTCAGGGACTGCCCCCCGCCCCAACCTCAGCAGGAGCATGGGGTTCTTTTAGCTTCCAAAGGGAATACTTCTGAGTCTCTTCAAGAGGTATTTTTTACCGCCAAGATTAGCTCAGGCTGGCTGGTAGGCAGCCGCTCTGTTCATTTGGCCAAGGAGAGGAGAGGCAGGTAGAGCAACGGTCCAGGTGGCACCGTCCTTTCAAAAACCTTCAAGGCACCTTTTCTGAGAACGAGCTCCACACCTCTGACCCAGCCGCCTCTCCTTTGACCTCCTGGGGGAGGCTGGTGGTGGAGGTGGGGGCAATCTCTCGTGGCCACTACATGTATCCACACCTCTATGCTGGTGACAAGAAGGGACAAATGGCAGGCCCCCACGCCAGCGGCCTGAGCTGTCCCCAGCCCGGGGTCACTTCTACAGCCGCCAATGCCTATTTATTCTGGCAAGTACCACTTGATGAGCTGCTCCATGGCTTTAACTGATGGCTTGGCATGGAACCCAGACAGGATCAGGAAGTGTGTGTGTGTGTACATATTTAAAGCTTGGTTCTAAAATGCCTGTGTAGGGACCAAGAATATGGTGCCAAGATGTGGGTTTCTGGGCCAAGGCAACACTTTCTATGGGGTTGGCAGAGATGAGGGGAGACTATGCATGACTCCAAGCAGTGAGCAATCCCAGAGGAAGGTGACCAAGAGTTAGTCAGAGGCCTGTGTGGCCAACCCTCTGCATGCAGCATCTAGTTTGAACCTTACAACAATTATGACATCTGCACCACTGTCCCCATCTTACAGATGAGAAAACCAAGACCCTGAGCAAGGAAGTCAGGGGCCCAAGGCCGCACACCAGGCATGGAGCACAGGGCAGGGCTGGGCCCCCGGCTCCTATTTCTTTGGCTCCATCACCAGACAGCTCTGCACGGCGAGCATCGAGCATGGTGGTGGCAGCTGGCAGGTGCTCGGTGAGGACTTGAGGAATGCACGGATGTTACCACAATACAATTTTTTAAAAAAACATACAAAAAAGAGAGAGAGAATGATACATGTCCCTTTAGTCTGTTTTTCTTCTCAAAGGAAAGTAACCCTCCCGGTGGCCAGCCTCTGGAGAGAAGCTCTGCACTGCCTGCTACAGGCCCTGGGGCACAGGGACAGCTGTGGGGACCTGGGGCTTAATGCTCTAGTGACAGAAACAGAGATGCTGTCCTCCTCACTACATGGATCCCAACCCTCTTTCCCTGTACCTCCCCTCAAAGACCTCCACCCCAGCCCCCACCTCATTTTCCTAGCAGTCCAGTGGGGCAGGAATGGCCCAAAATCTCACAGACGCACCAGGAATTGCAGCCACCAGAGTCCTTGGAACTGACTCAGTCTATGGGTCACCGGGGAGCTGGGAGGCTGGGGCCCAGGGAGGGCAGGCTGGCGGGAGGTCACAGAGAGATGCCAACAGAGGAACATCTGCGGCCAGGGAGGGTCCCCCTGTGTAGGTTTGGGGTGTGCAGACGAGGGGCTGGGACAGAACCGCATTTGCTGGGGGGCGACCTGGATCTGCTCTCTGCTCCCAGGCTGAAAGGGTCCTGTGGCAGCCACCCCTAAAAGCTCCCTGCATGCCCCAGCAGTGTCCCCTGGTGGTCACCTCGGGTATGCCGAGGCTTCTCAAGGCTCAGCTCGGGGTGGGGGCTCCTGAGAGGTCTGGCTGGGCTCCACATTGGGGGTGACCCGTTTCTGGTCCTGGTCCTGGAGGTGCAGTGGGAGGCCCAGGATGAGAGCGCTGACATAAAGGGACGGGCTCCTGAGCCCGGAAGGCTGCAGACACTTTGCCTGGGTTGGGAGTCAATTTGACATGCACGTGCAAGACCATGAGGCAAATCTTTATATTTTTAGCTTAAAAAATGTTGCATTTGCAAAAGAATTCACCTCACCCTTACCCTTGCCCAATCCTGACCTTCACCCCATAACCAGGCTTCACCCCTTTCTCCCCATTGCACCTGAGGCACACACTTCTCTGTGGGAACAACGACCTAACACCTAACAGCTCCATGATCTAAGGCACCATCTCAGAGGCCGCCACGTGCTTTTGTCAAAAGTGTGGTCTGGGCAGGGGGTAGGCCTAGGGGACAAACAGCACAGACATGGCAGGGAGGGCCCGGCAGCACCTTCCGCCCCCACGCAGTGTCCTTCAGTGTGAGATGTGCTCAGGACACTCCTGGCCTATGTGACATCCTTGCCCCGGGAGGGGGAGGAGCCGCCAGGCCGACCCTGTCCTTGCTGGAGCTCGCGCTGTGGCCGGCAGGACGCACCTTGCTCCTCTGCTGGACGTCCTGATCAGGACACACCTCGCGGCCTCACTCTGGGGCCTGGGTATGCCCACTGTCCCAGCTCTAGGGTCCAGCTGCAAGAGGTGTGTGCCTGCATGTGTACACGCGTGTGTGTGAAGCAAGGCTGGAGGACGTGAAGCAGGTCAGGCTCCCAGCAGTTGTAGGGCAAAAAGGAGGTCTATGGGGGAAGCTTGTGACATTATCCTGGGCTGCTGCTCCCAACTTTTCCCTGCAAGTGGAGCAATCGGGGAAGACATACAAGCTCCTCAGGCTCAGAAGGGACCAAGAGTCTCCCAGAACCCAGCTATCACCACGGTAACTCGCCATCGCCACAAACAAGAGTGTCCTCCCAGCATGCACCAGGGCAGGGTGGTGTTTCTTTCCACACATTGTTGCCTCTTATACAAGCCCACAGAGAGCACACGTCCTTGTCATGAGTGTGAGCTAGGCAATCACATAAACCTGACAGGTGCACACACACACACAAACGGAAATGACGCCCAGTTACTGAATGTTTACCACGGGCTGGCGGGCAAGACACTTTCCGTGACTGTTTGAGTCCCAAGCCCCTGCTCTCTCCACTGCAGAACAGAACCTCAAAATACGAGCACATGCCTCCAGATACACACACCTACTTGTAGTCCTGCCAGTCATTTGTGAAAACCACACCAGAAGCACACACACACAGCTCTGCAATCATGCAGACGTGTGCATGGGAGACCTCTGCGGACGTCTCACCATAGGTGGGGAAGGAAACGGATGGACGCAGTGCCTGGGGGTGACTTCATCTGGAGGAGCAGTGGTGCACGGGGAGGATGATGGCAAATGGGATCCTTCTTTCTGAAATCAGAACTGGGGGAAACAGGCTTCCCCAGGACAGTGAGACTATGACCTTGCTAACCAAGAGACTGAGACGTGGGAGCAAAAAAATGCCAGCACAGTATAGCTACAAGAATACAGTTCTTAGAGTTGAAAAGACCTGAGTTCAGATCACTGCACTGACCTTTCCCAGCAGGATTGACCTTGAATGAGGCAGGTCACCTTGCTGCAACGTTCCCTCCCGTGAAATGGGAGAATAATGGTACCCATCCAGCAGGGCTGCTGTGAGGATTATAGAGCTCATCATGCAGAAGGCTTTGTGCCATGCTTGGCACCAGGCAGGTGCTCTGTATTTGTCAGGAGGTACGAAGGGGCAGGAGAGCAAGGGGCACACACGCCGCCGCTCAGGGCTGAGCTGGCTTCCTGCCTCCTGCAGTGGGTGGGGGCAACCACGACGGTGTATGCAGGTGGGTTCACATTCTGCTCTGGGACCTCGCTCTGGCAGGGGGAGGCCCGGTACATGGATGTAGCAAGTGGATGGGGTGGTAACAGAGCCTCCCCCAACTCTAAGTCAGTGGCCTGACTCCCTGGACACAGTCTCAGCTGTGGGAAATGTTGGGCCTTACAGGGACTTCTCTGGCCATCAGCCTAAAATCTGATGTAGTAATGGGTGGGAGCATCCGACAGAAGGTAACAACCCCAACAGGTTTAGGGAAACGCAACGAAGGGGGTCTCGAGATTATCCATCAGCCAGCAGGCAAATTTCCCCAAGTTCTGTAAAATGTTAATTAGCTGACAGTTAAGTAAATGGCAATAACTGCCTGTTGAAATCTTAATTACTTCCACCAATGTTCCGGAAGCCACACTAGTAGTGCAGCTCAGGGGGTGCCCACAGAGGACTGGGTTTGTGTCTGACTTCTAGACTGGCTTTTGCTGTGCCTGGCTGGGCCTAAGTGGCTCAAGAGGAGAACACAGCCGAGTCATGAAAGAATCGTCTGCCCTCTCATTTCACACGTGGGGGAGAAACACCACGTCACCCAGGCCGGGAGAGGGGAAAGGCCTGCCCCATGTCACCCAGGCTGCAAATGGCAGGGCAGGTATGCTCCTGTCCCGGGGCTCCTGTCCCATCACTGTGCTCTGTGTCGCGCGCTGGGGCGGGCAGGCACTGAGGTGCATCACCAGCGTGGGTGATCACCAAGGAAATTAACCATTCAGGATGGTCTGGGACTAGACCTGGAAATCCACACTAGACTAAATGACCCGGAAAAGGAAGGATTAAGCATCACATGCACTCTCTTCTTTCCACAGTTCCCTAGGACACTGCAGGTCTCCACCCTGCTAGAGCCCACAGGAGGCATTCAAGTCTTCTTTAAGTTCTAAAATCTGTTACAGCTTGGGCGGGCTCCTACCACAGTAATAAAAGCCATTACAAACACACACATCTCTAACGAAATCATTCCCAGCTCAACCAGTTGGCCACTTGCTCCTAATAATATTTAGTACAACACAAAAGATCCTTGGGAGTTTGTTTACCATTTGTGAGTGATCATTTTGTGTTTACACTGAGTCAAATGTCTGGGAATCTGAGCCACTATCCTCCCTTTCCTTGACTCAAGGACATAAACCTTCAAAATCTAGCCAGAGAGGGCCCTGTGGGCCCACGGCCGTGCACTCCTCCGTCTTCTGATACATTCCAGGACTCCACCCACTGTGCAGAGGTTGCACATTATAATGAGCAATGCTACCTAAGTTAGAGGTTGCACTAATTGGGAGGTGGGCTCTGGCAGCCAGAAGCCTCAGGCTGGGTTGACGCCCGC